GGAGGCTGAGGCAGGTGGATTGCCCGAGCTCACACGTTCAAGACCAGCCTGAACCTGAGTGAGACCTCATCTCTAAAAATAGCCTTGGCTCAGTGCCCATAGCACAGTGGTTATGGTGCCAGCCACATACACGGAAGCTGGCAGGTTCAAATCCAGCCCGGATCAGCTGAAATCAACAATGACAACTGCAACAAAAAATAGCCAGGCATTGTGGCAGGTGCCTGTAGTCCCAGCTACTGGGAGGCTAAGGCAGGAGAATTGCTTAAGCTCAAGAGTTTCAGGTTGCTGTGAGCTGTGATGCCATAGCACTCTACCAAGGGCAACATAGTGAGACTCTGCCTCAAAAATAAATAAAGTAAGACTCTGTCTCAAAAAAAAAAAAAAAAAAAAGACTGCTATCCTAGTCGGCACCAGGTTGTCCCCATGGAAGGCAGACAGTACCTGTGGTGAGCAGCACACACTCTTCCAACTAGTGACCAAATAAAAATCCCACTGAAAGCCAACTGGGGACTCAAGGCTGCAAAAAAAGAAAAGCCAGAGGAGGGGCCTCCTCCTGGCACAGTCTGTTTCTTGGACAGCCTGTACCCAATTACAGGAGGAGGGGCCCCACTCCTTCTGGTCAAGGCTATATCCTTTATGCAAAGAAGGGTACTGAGGCACAGAGGACAGATGTCAGGGCCAGATTAGAGCCTGCCCAGCTATGCCATTAGATCCTCCTATAAAGTGGCCCCAGTAAGTCATTTCTCTGCCCCAGGCCTCAATTTCCCCATCCACTGGCTGAGGAAACGCTCTCTGCCCATTTCCTCCAGAAAAGACTTGCTATGAGGTAAATGAGCGCATCTCTTTGCTCCCTTCTCCTGGCACTTCCGGCCATGAGCATGAGGTAGGCCCCATGTCAGCTGGAGGCAGAGACCTCTCAGAATGTTTGGGATTCCTCCTGCAGAAGAACCACCCTGGACAAGCTGGCAGTTCCCCAACTTCCCCACCTTGACTAGGCCCTCTGCATTCCTCTTAAGACCCCCAGTAAAGCCTCCCAGATGCCACTTGGATATGCTCACCTGGAAGCATCTCAGCAGGAACTCTGGCAAATACTGACATGTCCCAGTGCCAGCCCAGGCCTGGCCTCAAATCCACAGCATGACTTAAGCTCCACCCCCCACCTTAGGGCCCTGGGGGCCCTTTTCCTTGGCCCTCACAAAACCTAGTACAGAACCTTCAAACTATTCATCTCTGGAATTTCCACTTTCCTGTCCCACTCAGCCTATTATCAAGAGCCTTCTTCAAGGGTCTAGGGGTGTCACATGAGAGTGTGGCTATTTCCAACCTACTGCCATAAGGCAAGACAGGGCTTCGGTGGCTCGGCGCCTATAGCTCAACGGGCTAGGGCGCCAGCCACGTACACCTAAGGTGGCGGGTTCGAATCCCCAGCCCGGACCCGCCAAACAACAATGACGGCTGCAACCAAAAAATGGCCGGGCGTTGTGGCGGGCGCCTGTGGTCCCAGCTACTTGGGAGGCGGAGGCAGGAGACTCGCTTGAGCCCAGGAGTTGGAGGTTGCTGTGAGCTGTAATGCCATGGCACTCTACCCAGGGGGACAGCTTGAGGCTCTGTCTCAAAAAAAAAAAAAAAAAAAAAAAGACAGGGCTTCGGAACTAAATCTGCCCAAATTCAAATCATATCTCTTCTACTCCCTAACTGAGCAGCATGGGCCCAGTCAGTCCTGCTTAAGTGGGGGACCACCATCACCCCACAGGAGAGTGGCTGAAGGGATTCAAAGAATCAAGCATTTGAGATGATCAACAAGTCCCTGGATGCAGAACGTGCAAAAAGGTGGTTTAAACCATGATGATAAAAGCCTTAACTTCCCAACTGCCATTTACCACCAGTAACCACTGGCGTATGGCTTCACCTCTCTGGGCCAGGTACCTCTTGGATGGCTAAGAGGACTAATGGAAATGCCATTTGCAAAACACTGGGCCTGGTGCCTGGCTACGAGGATTACTATTTGTAAAGAGACCTCAGAAAGATGAGGCTAAGGAACAGACCCACACACCACCTGTTCTACCTGCTCAAATCAAGTCAGGCAAGCTGTGTATCCAGCTGTTGCCAAGGCACCCAACACACAGGGAAACAATCAGCTAGAAGGGCGGGTGCTGCAGGGGTGGGGCCTTGGGCCTGCTTCACCTTGACACTGCCCATGCTCCCACCTAGGACTCCAGACCTCCTCAGGGGGCCCTGGAATTGGGAGAGATGGCTACTGGATCTGGGCCCAGGATCTAACCAGGTCCAATCCCTCTAGACCCTACCTCGACCTGAGAACAATGAAGCCTTGGCTGTCTGGAAGGGTAGGCTGTGAGAAGAAGCTCCCAATCTACAGACCAGAGTGGGTGGGGAGAGGATGGAGGGAGTAGGAACTCAGAAACCCCAGAACCCCCATCTGCTGAGCAAAAGCCCAACAAAAGCCAAAGTAGCTCTAATCTGGCTTCAAGTTCCAATGTCACTATCTGCTCTCACCAGCCACAAGTGCCCCGCAGCAAACAGGTACAAAGTGTCTTACTCAGTGCCCAGCTTTGGGGGGTGGGGACTTGATGTCAGTTCTTCCCTCCACAGCCTCATTTAGTTTTCTTCCAGGAAAAAGGTCTGGGAAAAGCTGTTTGGCCTCAGCTGGTTTGGGGAATCCAAGATCCCTTGCCAAGAAGGAGGAAGGGAAAACAGAGGTGAAATTCAGACACTGTGGGCTAAGACTTGGAACTTTCCAGACTTTCCTGGATAAGGCCAACAGGTAGGAATACAGGTAGTGGCTCCAGGACCTGGGGGACCAAGCGAATCAATTCCTCAGTGAGATCTAAGACCCTGTCACCATTCTCAGCTCACATTTAGGCCCCTGATGACTCAACCCAGGTCCCCCAAGACCTGGGAGAGGTGGGGCCTGGGCGCCTCCATCCATAGTAACCGTAACTGCTACAGCAATCTGCCTGGGCAGACAAGCCACATCTCTTATTCATTCCCCCTTGCCACCAGTGGGTAGGTGGGTATGACTTCCCTATTTTACCGAAGAGGAAACTATGGCTCAAAAAGAAACACAACAGGACATTAAAAGCACATTCTGAGCCGGCGACGTGGCACGGTGGCTCACACCTGTAATCCTAGCACTCTAGAAGGCTTAGGCAGGAGGATCATGTGAGGCCAGTTTTGAGACCAGCCTAGGCAACTATGAAACCCCATCTTTACCAGAAAACCACAAACATTAGCCAGGCATGGTGGCACAAAACTATAGTCTCAGCTTAAGAGGCTGAGGCAGAAGGATCCTTGAGTTTGAGGTTGCAATGAGCTATGATGACGCCATTGCTCTCTAGCCCAGGCAACAGAGAGACTGTCTCAATTTATTTAAAAAGGGGGGGAGTACATCTTATGTTTGAATCAGGGCTCCCCTGTATTAAATCAGGCAAATCACTCCCTCTCTAAAGCTTTTTCCATCTCTGTAAAGCAGAGATAAGAACCCCATGGGCCCCACCACCACCACTCCAGCTCCATGATGTAGTCAAAGAGTTAAGTGAGAGGTGCTAATAAAATGGAGTGCAGCACCAATAATAGCTGGTTCTTGAGATCAGAGGTTAGATAACCCATCCAATGTCACCCAGCTAGTGAGTGGCCAACTCCAGGCCCTAGCTCTGAGCACAGCCCTCTCTCTGAAACCTTCAGCTTCTACATGGGTAGGGTATGGGATAACAGGCTTCCCAGGCAACCAAAGATGGCCCACCCACCCCCTCACAAGGGGCAGCCCTTGTCCAAATTCCTCAGATAAGCAGCTCCCAGCAGAATGAGGAGCCAGTGCACAGAAAAAGCACCCCACCCTGTCCGCAACGGAGATTCCTAAATCTGGGTTAGGCTATGCAGCTTCTCTCCTTTCCTCTCCTCCCAGCAAAACATTTAGCCTCTGGATTCATCCAACAGGTCTCCAAACTGGCCAAGTTCAGTTAACAGCCACCTCCTTCAAAGCTCCTGGCAAGACACTTCGTCTTTCTGGACCTCAATTTCTTCATCTGTAACATACACTCCCACTCAGAACAGTGAGGCAGCTCTGGCTAACTGGACCCACAAGTGAGCCTGAGAAGCAAAGGGCAGACCAGGTAAGGGAAGCAGCATGCCCCATGCCCCAGACCCCAGGCCCACATTCTAGCTACTTGAAACCTCACAACTCTGACAGAAAGATCTGCATTAAGGGAGAGACCTGCATTAAGCCTATTTTCCCAAGAGGACATGGAGGCCCAGAAAGTAACAGAACCAGGATTCCCACCCCTGTCTGTTGTACTCCAAGGCTCTCTCTCGTCAGACAGGCCCAGGGAATGAAGACAGCCTGGGAACTCAGTCACATTGAGCAATAAGCTGGGCAGCTGGACCTGCCAGGACAGGACAAACACAAAACCAGACTCAACGGAGCCCCTTTCAGAGAGGGTAGCGGCCTCAGCCACAAGGGCATTTGCAATGCAAAGCAGCCCAGCTCCAGCCAGAAGAGGACAGTCACTCAAAGGGGGTGGGTAAGCCAAAATCCAGCCACCTCCCACCAGTCAGGCTGGGAACTGCCCGGGACAGGGCTTTCCTGGGTGCCTGGGAGTACTATATAAGTAGTGGCAGGTATGGATTCTAAATCATAACAGCTGGAATAGCCAGCTAGGGTGCAAGGTGACCTGGAACACCACTCCCCTGCTCAACCCTCAACAAGGCACAAATTCAGCTGGGCCCTACTCCAAGTCTGACAAATCAGCCCACTACGGGTGGCATGCGGGGCTCAGAGAACAGACCCCCAAGTATCCAGCTCACCTGCAGACGGGTGCCTGGCACCCTGCCACTTTCCTCAGGCCCAGTCCTGCCATGTGCAAACTTGCCCCAGACACATAATCCCCCAGATTCTCCTGGCCCCAAGTGGTGCTTCCACACTTGCCAAGTAACTAAATCTCGCTTATCATCCCTCTCTCCTGCACGACTACCCCAGCTCCTACCTTGACGACAAGCTGACAAAATCCCCGCCATCCAACAGCCGGACCTTGCAGAAGAGGACCCCGTTCACAAAGGGGACTGCAGTCAGCTCCTCCAGGGTGAAAGTGGTTTGGAATTTGAATTTCTTCTTCTTCATCAAGAAAGCCATGAGCGAGTTCCCTGAGTCTAAAGCCCCGAAGGCCAAAAAAGGGGGGGACAGAAATCCCCAGGATTCCTTTCCCTACACCACACCCCCTCCTCAAAACACCAGAGCCGGATCCTGCCCAGATGGTGGCGGAGGCGGCGGACCGGGCAGGGAGCTGAGTCCGGAGCTCCAGGTCTAAGCGACCAGTCTAGTTCGCGGGCCGGCCGGCTTCACCCTTGGGGAGTCGGGGCTCAGAGGGGTTCGAAGCGGCATAAATCACCGGCATGTAAACAGCGGGACGTGGCCCAAGAGGCAAGTGCAGGGGCGGCGGTCTGCGCGCGAACGGCCGCGCTGGCGGGCAGCATCCCGAGCCGCGGTCCCCGGGGAGCTCATGCCGCGCGGCCCGGCGCAGCAGGCGAACCGGTGAAACTGAGGACGGCGGGCTGCGGGCGGCCCCGCCCCCGCTTCGCTGGCGACCGGGGGAGGCTCCCTAGCCGCGCACACGCCCCCGCACCTGGGTGCCCCGAGGCCTGCGCAGGTGTGGCGGAGGGCACCCTACGGGCGGCCAGGAGGTCTGGGGATCTCTCCCAGAACCGCGTCAAGACACCGCGGGCCGGGAATGTCCAGCCGCGGGCCTCCTCCGGGCCAGCCACGGACAGGGGGGGCGCTGCCTAGTCCTCGGTCCTGAGACCCGCACCGCGGGCCCCGACGGAGTTGAGACGCCCTCCGGGCCGGCTAGTGGCGCCCGCCTCGCCCCCAGCTTCTGCCCACCACCCCGTGAGCACTAGCACCACCGCCTGCGTTCCCGACGCGGCTGCCGGAGCCCGACGCTGCGCGGCGCGGATCGGAAAATGCCGAGGCCCCGCTCGGCCGCCCGCGGAGCCGCTGCCGAGCGCGGCAGGGGCGGGGCGCCGGCGGCCCAGCCCCTCCACGATTGGGCGGCCTGACGGAGCGGGCGCGGATCGCAATTGGCGGACGACGTTGTGGGGCGGGACTTGGGGAGGGAGAGGCACCTTGGGGCTCTTGGATTGGTGTGCTGCGCGGCCGGGCCCGCCTCCACCGGCAGGGCTGAGAGAAGGGAAAGGGAGAGGGGCCCAGGGAAGGCAGTGGGAGGTCGCGGGGCGGGGAGCCCGGCTGGCGGGCCCGGGAGGAGAACGCGAGCAGAAGAAAAGAAGAAACAATGACTAGGAGAAACAATTTGAAACTATGCTGGAATGGCCTTGCAGGGTCCCGCCAGACTTGAACTCGTTGAACATTAAATCAGGCCCAGAAGGTAGTGAGTCCTATTTGTCAGAAAACTGACACCTCCAACTAGAATGGGAAAAGACCCAACTAGGTCATTTACCCCCAAATCTCTAGTTCTCGTCAGCACTGAGGAAAGAAGTGTCTGGAAGGCTTCGCTGAGGAGGCGATTTGGAGCAGTTCAAAACGCAGCCTTGTGACCCAGCTTGTATCGTCGTTCCAAGCTGTTATCTAAGCCTTTTGTTGTCAGTTTCTTGCCTAATTAAGTTTAGTCTCACTGACTAGATTAACTGCTCCACTTCAGGACTCTCCTGCCTCCCAAGCCTCTCAGAATACTGCAGTTCATTCATCCAGTCCCCAAATGTTTGGGGCAGTCTGCTCTGAGCCCTGCTGGGACCTAGCAGGGAATCCGGTGTGTTTGCCCTTTGCAACCACTCTAAGCTCCAGACCAGGTGGATAAGCAGACAGGTATGCAACCACAAATCTGTTGGATAAGAGCTGTAAAAGAAGGTGCAAGGACTAAAGGACTCAAAGGAGGCATCTTTAGGGTGGGAGGAAGGGGACTCAGAGAGAGGGCTTCTGCAACAAGTTGATCCAAGCCACATACAAGATGTATACCCGGAGTTAGGCAGGGACCAGGCAGAGGGAGCTGCCAGAGGCCTGGGAGGTAGAGAGTATGGCACCAACAGAAAAGTTTCGGGCACCTAGGACCGGCTGCATTGTGGTGATCTGAGGGCAAGAGATGGGGCTGGAAAGAGAGGATCTTGTAAAGTCTTGTAGACTAGAATTAATAGGAAACCACTGACATATATTGGGCTGGAGAGTGACCCAGTCAGAATTGCTTTTTGTCATAAACTCTTGCTCTGGCTGCAGATAGTGGGGAAGGGAGGAGATAGGAAACAGATGGGTGAGGGTGCTGGTGTGGTGATCTAGGCAAGAGATGATGACAGTGGGACCTCAGCATTGGGGGAGGGGAAATGAGAGGATAGGTCTGTGCACATGGGTGTGAGTTAGGTCTGTGCTAGTGACTGAGGTCTCTGATTTCTTCCTGCTTCTCAGCCTTAACATAGGTGGTGATCTATGCTTCTCTCCAGTTTATCCCATAATTTAGAAGACACGATTAGTCAGATTGAAGAGAAATGATAATAGCAGCTCCCTGTGCTACTCTGTGTTCCCTTTTATGGACAGAGAAATTGAGGCCTAGAGGATTTAAAACATTTTACTGGGTCTTGACCCTGAAGCACAGGCTCAAAGAGTGCTAAGCTGTGCTGCCTACACTGTGGGGTGTGTTCTTCTCACTAATCTCAGCCAGGCCCGCTCCAAAAGGGAAGAGCCTGTGGCTACCTGATCCCAGGAGGGGATTTCAGAGGAGGGAGCCAGCCAAGAACAACCCAAGGCCTGGCTGGCTTCTCAGCTGTGGCCAAGAGTAACCTCAGGCCACTCCAACAGGAAGCAGGGTGGGCCTGACTGCCAGGCTTAGCTCAGGCATGTTGGTTGGGTCCTCTGTACCCTGTGGGCTGAGAACCCAGAAAGTTTCCCTTCCCTTTCCCAGATGATGCCCGGGGAAGAGAAAGCGCAAAGCTACAGGACAAGGTGCTAGATTGGGGTGAGGTGAGTCCACGCTAGAATCCTCACTCTGCTGTGTATTGCCAATGTGACCTTGGTCCAGCATTTCCAAATGAGGAGGGGGTTTGGTAAGGTATGCCTAAGACCACTTTGCTTTGGAGCCAACAGAGCTAAATTTAAAATCTGGCTAACTCACCACTACCACCTATGCCACACAACGTTTGGATGTAGTTTTACATGTGTCCAAAGGAATCTTGAACTTCTAAACTTTCTCATCTCTGAGCCACACAATTTCTTCACCTGTAAGATGGCAATAAGAATACCAACCTTGGCTGGGCATGGTGGCTCACACCTGTAATCCCAGCACTTTGGGAGGCCAAGGCAGGAGTATTGTTTAAGGCCAGAAGGGTTTGAGACCAGCATGAGCAACATAGCGAGACACTATCTCTACAAAAAAAAAAATTAGAGGCGGGAGCAATGGCTCACAACTGTAACACTAGCACTCTGGGAGGCCAAGGTGGGTAAATCACCTGAGCTCAGGAGCTTGAGACCAGCCTCAGCAAGAGCAAGACCCCATCTCTAAAAAATAGCCAGGTGTTGTGGTGGGTACCTGTAGTCCCAGCTACTTGGGAATCCTCCTCCTGAGGCAGGAGGATTGCATGAGCCCAAGAGTTTGAGGTTGCTGTTACCTTTGATGCCATAGCAGTCTACCCAGGGCAACAGAGTGAGACACTGTCTAAAAAAAAAAACAAGCTGGGCATGGTGGCACACATCTCAGTCCAATTACATATCTGCCATCCAGTTCAAGGATCGCTTGAACCTAGGAATTTAAGGCTGATTGCACCACTGCACCAGCCTGGAGGACAGAGTAAGACCCTATCTCAAAAAAAAAAAAAAAAAAAAAA